AGGTTGCAATTTTTAAGATCTAGATAAAAAACAAATCACACTAGATTTATTGCTTTCTGTTAGCCTGATTAGCAACATTGATATATTTCTTCACAAGTGTATCTTTCAAAGACTGTCGCACGGTCTTCATATTGTGAAGACCCGGAATTACATTACGTAGTTTCTTACCAGGAGAATCTTCCACTTCTGAAAATTCTACGATTTATTCTTTTAGTTAGTTTAGTTCTACCCTCAATTTTCTACATTCGTTTCTTTTCTTGTGCACTCACTAATTATTATTCAAATCTTCGGATATTTCTGGTGCTGTTTTAAAATACGCAAACAACCACGCTGTGCATAAAAAATCAGAAAACGTGAATGTGAAATCAGTTGTGCCAGAATAAACAGAAATGGATGTGGTGTGAAGAGCAAGTTTGATGACACTTCAAATACTGTGAATGATCATGCCTGCCAGATGCAGCTGTGTTCTTCTGTCCTGTCTTAGAAAATGACTTGAAAATACTCAGTCATTTATCCAGCTTCCCTCCTAATTTTCACGAAAAATTAAATCACTCACTTTTGCTAGAAAGCAATAATGCTGGCGATAAAGGTGCATTTTGTTTAGCTGATGACTTCACGCCATTTCGATGTCCTCGATTTAGTCTAGTAAAGTTTTTTTTATGAGATATGACATTGAGTGAATGTTTAATGTCTTTTTTCTTGTTACCATTGCTGCTACCAACTTCTGGAGACTTCTCTTCGTCAGATCTTGGAGAATCGACCACTTTTTTTGACAACTGGTTTGCGATTCGGTCACTTTTCCGTCTCTTTGGAGTAGGTGGTTTGCTGGATGACGTACTACTATCTAAGACATACCTTTTTGGCAAATAATTGATCTATATACAAGCTGTTAAAAGTGTGTACAGGAAAATTAGAATTAGACAAATAAATTATAACTGATAATAATTGAGTGCATAACATGATATGCAAAATTAAAAAAGGAAAGTTGAAAAATAGCCACATTATGTTCAAGACTGAGGCAGTTCCTCTTAATTTAAGAATTAAAACTGTTTTTGTGAATAATTTTGCGAATACAAAAGATTTGATTTCCTTCATTAAACAATGGTCCCATTAATAACCACCGAATGAAAAGAAAATGCCCAGGACAAATATAATAATAATAAATGTCACGACTCCCTGAAAAGCATTTTTTGAGGAAATAGGTCAAAAATAGCAAGTGAACTTTATAGTAAGTGAATAGTAAGTTAGCTTTATTGCAGGAATTATGTAAAAAAAAAAAGAAAAAAAAAATAACAATTTGATCTAATTAAGAAGGTAACAGGCATGCTAACTGAGATTGATTCACTTCACACATATGCTAAAGCGACCTGAAGAACACTCAGCAGCAATATTCTTCAAAACTTCTTAATTTTTAAAACCATACCTAGATCTTTTGTATTCCCCTCACGTTTACGAACAGTCGATGGTGAAATGTTTCTCGCACTCACAGCTTTACCAGTCAGCGATGTTTTTGAGTTTCCCTTCCCTCTGCTTCTTGAATTCAAATTTTTAGATGTCGATGACATTTGATTCAAAATCTGAAAAATAGTAAAATTCATCGGAAACGGTGACTTGTTATAATCTGTTTTCCATGTATTTGCTACACCAGCCGCAAATGCCCTTTAAAAAAAAGATCTACCAATTGAACACTTCCATAATCCACTTTGTTCGCATACGGCGTTTCATAAGCCAGCTTAAAAAGCTTGCTCAGAAAAGGCACATATTCACCTTGCATAAGCTTCTTGATATTTTCATCGAATTCCTTTGAAAACTTTTCTTTTTCTGTCATAACCTTAAGAGAAAGAAATTATATTCAAGCTTTATTCACTGTAAATTCAATTTTTTAAGTCGCAACAAAATCAAATCATATCTCGTTCAAACATCATCGAATAGCGCCACCAACTACCTAGTTGTTATCACGTTATTCTGACTACAACTGAGAAGGTAATGAACGCTGCATACAGTTTTTCTAAATTCTCTACTTTAGATTTCTTGTATTAAACTAAAAATAAAACGACTGTATGATAAGCAGAGAAGATGAGAAAACTATCGAAAATTTTGGCAAGCCGCGAAAAAATATTCAAAGCTTTGATCATAAATTTTACAAGTTGCTTTTGAACTTTTAAATTGGCATTACAAAATGATCAAACAAAGAATTACTGATTCTGGTTTTTGCCCATATTTCTGCCAAGGTAACGTTCCACACAACCAGTAAAGTATGTTGTATCCAAGTATTTCCAAGTCACCTCGAAATGAAGGAGAACAACCACGATGAGCATCCAATGAAGTAAACAACAAAGTTCCGTTATGAGCTGAAAAATATACAATAGGTTGCTAAAATAAAGCATTACTAAAACTGAACAATTCCTCATTTTAGAATCATATTCAAAAACATAGATTGTACCCCTTTTTTTATCCGGTTTGTCGACATTCCCTTTGGCCAACCTTGCAAGTCCAAAATCGACCAAAAAACATCTGGAATATTCGTTTGCTGATGCCAACAAAATGTTGTCTGCCTTTAGATCACCATGCACGTAATCCTGAATAGCTATCAATCTGCCAGAAAGCCAAAAGACCGAAACTTTGATAATTGTGATTTCCATTTCAAGTTAGAAAAGTCTTCTCTTTAGAAGACGGTTATGGAAGGAAATTATTTATTACAATCTACTGGAACTGATGCATTTGGGACTGTGAAGACGGAACACCAACGTGGTCCTGCATGTATGATAAGCAATCGACACACTGTTTAGCAACAGTCAATATTAAATCCATGTCCAAAATACCACCATTTGCTACACGATATGTTTCCAGAGATTTCTCATAGCGTGGCATAATCAGAAATCGTAACTTCTCACCATTATATGTAAATAAACCGCTACTCACGTATGGAGGTAAACCAATATGGTTGATTTCTGCAAAAAATCTTCAAATGAAAATAAAACATATATACATAATTAGAATAGAATATAGGTGACTTTTTCTAATTATCTGAAACATGCTTATAATTTCGTAAAATTAAAGTCGAGAAGTCAATTAAACAAACTTTTCTTATCCAACCAAGTTGCAAGCTTTTGCGGTGTTAGGATTCGTTGAAAGACTGTTATTTCTGTGAAAAGTGGACCATTTGCATGCGGTTCAATTTTGATCGCAAGTGAACCAGCCTTATCATATTCTTTACTATCTTCCTGAAATTTATTTTGTCGGAAGAGTGCATAAAAAGAGATAACATAAAGATGACGAATCGAAGAAAATCATATGTTGAACATATAAAAAGAAAAATATTCATATTAGTGGATCTGAATATAAAACAATTCAGAAAATAAAACATTTAGAAGATATGTTCAGGAATATAAAATATCTAAAAGATAGAGAAATACAAAAATTATAATTGGAAAATAAATTTTGAGTATATTTCTATTTTTTAATAGCAGACCGAATATTTGGTAAGACAGATAATAAAAAATCGTAACAATAATTCTATAAGTAAATTTTTATTAGTGCCTTGTGCAAGATACATACACATGCACAATAGTGAATTTCTATTTCTAACTCATATTCAAAGCTTATTTCAAATCTTAAAAACTACTTGTCTTCCGGAATAAATGCGACCAAAACCACCGCGTGCAAATTCTTTTTCAATAACAAATCGGTGTTTGAGAGTATCTGTGATAACTGTTTTCTCCACAACAACACAAGCCAATTCATGTGCTTTTTTCCGTGATAATGGCATTGTCTATAAAAAAAAAAAAGACAAAACGAAGCTATGTTAAACCAAAATTATTAAATTTTCGAATGGTTAAATAACTGACAGAGAATTAATCGACTTCAAGCATAATGTAAGCATAAAAATTTAAATTATTAAATTTTCGAATGGTTAAATAACTGACAGAGAATTAATCGACTTCAAGCATAATGTAAGCATAAAAATTTAAAATATTAAATTTTCGAATGGTTAAATAACTGACAGAGAATTAATCGATTTCAAGTATAATGTAAGCATAAAAATTTTTTATTATTTTAACATAGTATTGAAATTAGGAAAGAGTAGTGCTAATTAATTCTCCCTTCACTTATCTCCTCTCCTCGTACAACAAATCTTCACATTATTTCTGAAAATATCAAAAGTATCAGAGAGAATCCTAAAATAATAACTTTGACATTTTCATCACCAAATCATCTCTTTTCCTAATGCTCTCTCATAAATCTTATCAATCTCTGCTACTCACATTCTCCATTCATATTCGCTATCACTCTATCATTCACCACTCCTCTCTGTTCCCTCTGAAATTACACTATCAATGCTAGCATCTTCTAATCTCCCTTTTTTCAAATTATGCTTATCTAAACTACCATAATTGAAATTTATCGAGCAGGTTCTGCTACTAATAGCCAAAAATCAATCCCTTATTGTGTTATCAGTGATTTCTTTCTTTTGTTTTTTGTTCTTTTTTTTTTCCTTTAGAATTTGGATATTTTCTAGTTTGATTCTTTATAATATTTAATACTAACATATTAATCATTTATATATTCCTAATTAAGTATATATTATTTGCTATGCATAGAAATGGTTAACATTTGCTAGTGGAAGAGGAAATCAATTAACTGATAATGTACTATATCGAATGACCGGAATATTTAACTGAAATACCGGACTGCTACACTTCTCAAGTAGACAAATTTCACCGGAATGACCGAATGTGCTTGTATAAATGAACTTTATATATTTTGCTGTATGATATCAAAATTGATGTTCTATCTTATAAATATTGCAATGAATTAGAAAATACATAGATTATACATATTTCGGCATCAGTTGACTTCTGCATTTCAGTGAAATTAGATTTGTTTGAGAACATTTGCGAAATTTAGAAGGTTTTAAACTGCTGCTAATATATTAGTATGTCTTAACTCGTTGCTTCAGCGAAGCTTTCCACTCCGACGGCAGTTTGTACTGCCTGAGAATGGATGTCTCAGATACGCTTGATACGTCGAATACAACGGATACGATTATCGAGAAAACAAATAAGTAATGGTTTCAATTCTAACTAGTTGTAGAAATGATTTCATTAGTTGTTTTGGTTACATGTATGCAATTAATAAACAGAAAATGTTTCACTTATTCAAGAAGTCATTCAGAAACTTGTAGAAATTGCATTCCAAAGAATTAAGATATTGATTTTTTGGAAGATGCGATGATAAATTTATTCTTGATAATGCCAAATATTTACAGAAACATATTTTTAATGCGAAATATTTTTAGGTTGAAAATTAGTTCAGCAGTAGAAAGTAAAGATGAAAGCAGTAAAAACAGCTCATGTACATCGAAGGCACCACTTGCCAAAGGTACTTCATGTTTGGAACATGGAATAGGAGTTCCTTCACAGCAGACAAGTACAAAAGTATGGTTATGTTTTCTTATATTATGTTTATACTTCCACATTCATATGAGACCCCTAGTGGATTCGGGAGTAATTATCATGAAGCTTTAAGGCTATTATTCATTCTTTGCATTGGTTTCTACTCGTTATATTTTGCTCAAGTTCCGTTCCATTTTAATTCGTCTAGTCTTTCGTAATGCTTATCATCTTCCTACATGTTTCTGGGAATATATTTTGCTTCTATATTTCTTATCATTTCTTATTGTGATAACTTTTCAAGTTTAATTTCATAGAAATCTTTACACTAGTATTAGTAAAATTCCTTTTCAAGTTCCTTAAATTGTAATGAGCCCTAGCTAATGAAATAGTTATTTCACTACCATCCCCAAGTGTTTTAGAAAAAGAGGCTGCCTCACCAAGAACAGATATGAATTACCTTAGACTTATCACCGTTTCAGGTATATTATCATATCGATGACGAAATGGTGCCATATTGTACTGATGTCATGGTGCCGCCCGATAAAATAACACTTGGTGATTTTAAACGTGTGTTAACACGATCAAATTTCAAATATTACTGTAAAGCTCCTGCTCCCGATTCTGGAGTTTTTCCGTAAGTTCAAATATTTTTCCTGCTTTATTTAAAAATAATTTGTGATAATGGCAAGCTGTTTGCCATTTAGTTAAGACTTGAAATTTTATCTTTTAAAGTCTTTAATGTTCAGTAAAATTATTAATAGCTGTACAATATTTCAGTTTAAGCGATCGGTAATTACAAATTCAAATTTGAAGTCATTTTAAGAAATAGTATAAGATGTGAAATGAAAAAAACTATTTAGTGAAGTGAAAGTGGAGATACGTGATGACAATGAATGTTTACATCGGTCGGCGAATGGTCAGTTTGAGCTCTTTTTGCTTACATCAGAAGGTAGCAGTCATTCTGATGGTTCTTCAGGCCTTCCACTGAAAAGTGCGCGACTCATGGTAAGTTGAAGCTAAAGAATTTTTGCTTAATAAGTTTTTTTTTTGTTCGCGACGTAATCATTTCAACAATTTCAGTACTTATTAAATTGTAATTAGCTGGAGGCATGTTTAATATAAACCAATGAAGATAGAAAAGAAGACAACTTTTAAGAGTAATGTAAAATTCAATTTTGATTAATGTTATTTTCGGTCCCGGGCCCAGCACCAACCATGTATCCTGTTGGAAGTATGGCTTATCGCCAAGCTGTGCAACAATTTGACCAGAGCAGTAATTTTTTTTTTTTTTTAATGTGTGATTGTTCAGTTTTTAAAAATTATTTTTCGACCTATAATTGTTCATTGTGAAAAAAATTTTATGGCTTATCGCCAAGTTGTGCAACAATTTGACCAGAGCAGTAATTTTTTTTTTTTTAATATGTGATTGTTCAGTTTTCAAAAATTATTTTTCGACCTATAATTGTTCGTTGTGAAAAAAATTTTTTAGTGGCATCTACAGATTCGGATTCTTTTATCAGTGACATGAGAGCTCTACCAATGCAAGTAAAGGGAATATCAAGGCGAGCATTTCCGCAACAGTACATTTCGCAAGGTATGCATCTTAATATTTCTTCTTACTTGGTAGATTCTCATCTTCAAGTGTCATTAGACTGCAGGATCTCTATAAGGAGTCTATAAGGAGTTAACATACTGTTCTTGATCCAACTTTTTGGAAGTTTCTGATTGCGGTTTAAGTTTAGTTTGATTACGGTTTAAGTTTAGTTTCCTTTAACTAAGCACCGCAAAATGATATCAAGAATGCTTTTCTGAGGAATTTCATTTTGTAATTTCAGGACACCGTGGAGGTCGACGGTTTGAAGATTCAACGTTGGGCTCTGAAAGTGACGCACGGTTATTCTCGGATGATGACGACCGTTCTAGGTTTTTTATACCAATTTTTTAAACTATATAGAGAATATACCTATTAATGTATGTATATTAGTTATGAAAGCTGTAAAATACAATTACAAATCAAATTACTTCATTGATTTGCAATTTTTCTCTTTGGATTAGTAAAAAATTGAAACAGATATTGATTTCTCTTGATTTGTTTGTCTGTTTATCAAAAATGAAATTATTTGAAGTTTGAAAAAAATTCAGAGTTTCAACATCTACTGACATCACCAGTGTTTCTCGACAACATCATGCACCTGCATATCGTAAACGCCGAAATCGTCGACGATTTCGTCAACCTTCAAGAGCCTCATCTTTTAGTAGCATAACAGAAAGCTCAATGTCGTTGGATGTTATCACAGTAACACTAAATATGGATACGGTGAACTTTTTGGGTATCAGCATTGTTGGACAGAGCTCGTCTCGTGGTGATAATGGCATTTATGTGGCTAATATTATGAAAGGTAATTGGTTTGATAATATTAACTGGCTTTTCAAAATGGCAGTCCCTTGATTCTGAGATATTTATCTTTGGTAAGATTGCACTTCAGCTTTAATATTTATTGACATTTAGGTGGTGCCGTGGCATTAGATGGACGAATTGAGCCAGGCGATATGATTTTACAAGTAAACGATATTTCGTTCGAAAACTTCACGAACGATCAAGCAGTTGACGTTTTGCGTGAATCAGTTGCACGACGAGGGTGAGTTTATAAGTTTTAACATAGTGATACACGACTAAAACTTTACGGAGGTATTTGCAAATGACCTTGAAGTTGACATTTTGAATAAATCTTTTTTGAATTCAATTTTTGGTTGGAGAATTAATTCTATGTTTCTCATAAACATGACGCTACTTTTCAGACCAATTAAGTTAACAGTAGCTAAAATGTGGGATAGTGGACCAAGAAGTGCGTTTACTGTTCCACGACATCGAGATGAACCAGTGCGACCTATTGATACCCAAGCCTGGATACAGCACACCAATGCTATGCGAGGAATGCCGTCTATTCTCGAAGGTTTTTTCTTTTTTTTTTACCTAATATTATGCAAAATTTTAATTTCTGTTTCAAATACATCAGATGTTTGTCACTTTTCAAGGTTTTAGACTTTCATGACATTTAACAAGTTTGAATATTTCCAAAAAGTCTTTCAGGTTCTGAAGGCGCTCCAACTCCAATACCTGGTCAGTATGGTCGACCTGCAAGCAGCAGCACTGCAACATCGAATGGTTCTGTTCCGAACACTATTGTTGGAGGAGGTAAGGACTTTCAGATTCCACTTTAAGAATATTTTTAGGCAGTCTTTCATAATATTAGAAAGGCGAGCTTTAAATGTTTATTTGCTTGATGTTTCAAAAATTTTTTACTTTGCTTTTATCTATACTTTATTTGTTTTTCAGCTCATTTTCGGTTAGATGCTATGACGGACAAGAAAAAAGTTGTTCAAATGATGGTTATGCCAAATTCTGGCTTAGATATTAAAAATCGCACATGGCTTAAAATTCCAATTCCGATGTCTTTCCTTGGTAAGATTTATTTGTCTCGAAACAGTTAATGCTGACTCTTCATTAATTGTTACAATCTGTCAACATTATTGAATAAGTAGCTAAGAATAAGGAGACTTACTGAAAGTTTATTATCTTTTCGTATTTGTTTTTACGATCAAATTTCGGTTGTGAGTACTTACTTATTTGGCAGAGACCATTTCTTTCGTTTACTAGTAGTTTTTCTCTGGGCATTTGAATTGTAATGCATTGAAATCTGAAATGAAATTAGCAGCTGAAATTATTTTTCTCTCTGTCAAAAGTCAACATTGTTAATATCAAAATTAAATTTAAGTAGAATATTTAAGTAAACTAATTAATGTTTAAGTAAAGAATGTTTTTATCTTGAAAATTTCGGTGTCTTAAAAATTCCTTGCAATGTTTTATTATTTTTAGGCAGTGATTTGGTTGATTGGCTGATGGAACATGTTGATGGGCTCCGTGATCGAAAGGATGGACGCAAATTTGCTGGCGAGTTGTTGAAAGAGAAGTTAATCAGTCATGTGGTCAATAAAATTACTTTCACTGAACAATGTTACTATATTCTGGGTGAAGAATGTGCTGGTTTGTTTTTAGAAAATTGGATAAATTTTATCTTGTTTGAATGAAGTAAAATATAGCTAAGTTTTTAACCATTTCTTAAACTTGTTTTGAACCGAAAAATTTTACGAACTGTTGAAATTATCAATGATTTAGAATTCTGTTTTTTTTTTTCCTTTTTCATTTCTTCCATTATCTCCATAAGATTTGTCATCCTTCGCTTCTTTATTCTGAAAAATTATACTCAATTTAAGATTATGCACGCTTGCGGCAGAATCCTGGCGGCGATGATCCGGGTGTTCGAAGTGAAGTGGGTTCAGTATTGCCACCACCACCACCAGGACTTGTTGCTGCTGCTGCAGCACAGCAAAGTGGACGTGCTTGGCCTCAGCCAACGATGATACCGCAGAGTGCACCTTCAATGGTAAGCGGTATTGAAAATCCAGCGAATGCTGATGGTACCACGCGATTCTATTTAACTAATCTTTAGAATAGTCTTGCGACCGTAATATGTTGTTGTTTTTATCATTATTTTTTTCTAAGCGTTCCTTTTTAATTTGTATATTCTTTAGAAGTCTGCTTTTAGTTACATATTTATGCTATTTTGAAATGATTATCTCCCCGCATTTGCGATTTTCGCGGTTTCAGAAGTTCAAAGTACCAGTAGAGAGAATGAATCAAGTTGCACTAACTTTTTAATTTCGTTTCGTTATTTAAAATGAATTCATTTCAGAAAGAATTCTTGCATTATATTAGACAGATCCAACTACGCAGAAATGTTATTTCTCATAAGATTTGTCATCTATCATTTCCCTGCTCTAAATCTTTTACAGTATTGTTATGGATTGGTGGGTCGGTCTGTATATCATGATCCGTTATTCTTAACAATGAGAATGTTTTGGGATCAAAAACTCTCAAAAATTCTAGATTTGACGTGTTCAGCAAAAACTTATATTTGTATCAAATATATTTATGATCAGTCAATTAATCTCTGATTTGTTTGTTTAATTAACGCCACCGTCTGTGTTTTTTTTTTCTTTTTGCTTTTGCTGCTAGCTACACAATTCTGAATGTTTTTATAACTGCTACTAATGCATCAAAAAATTTTTTTTTTTGCAAAAAAAAAACCAGCTTAATAATCCTTATTAAAACTAAAATCTTCTAAGAATATATATAATTCAAATCAAAAAATTATCAAAACACATATGATTTGAAGGATATGTTCAGAGCATTGACAACTATATTTAGTAATAACTGTAGAAGACAACATAGTAGAACCATACTACATGATTTATTTTTTAGATGAATTTTTACTACTTTCATGACCGTATTCGTAAGTTCTTCTTTTTGTTGGCTAAATTCTAACTTTTATGCCAAAATTTAACTACGAATAAGCTGGATTTAAACGGTTTGATTCGATAGATAAATTAATTATAATTATATTTCGTTCCATAAAGCGGATAGTGAGGCCTTTCATTCAGACGGGTAGATTATATTGAGTTTTTTCATTTCAAAGGTTTTTTTCTTGTAGTCTACTCTTTCGCAGTTCGTCCTTCATGCATTTTTTATTTTGTATCTAATTTTTCTTGATTTTAAATATTGCATCAAATAGAACTTTTGCATGAATTCTAATGCTGTATTTTAGGTAATTCTCATCAACTAACAAGATTTTATCGTAATTTTTTATGCTTCATATGATTTTAATTCACTTCTTTCATTTCATCAATAATATAACAAAAATAACAATCGCATGTTTCCAAACAACAATTGCACATACCTTTTTTAAATGTAATTTCTAGAGAGCATGTTAAGTTAGATAGGCTTGTTTAGTAATGCGCTTTTTTTCAATTTTTATCCAGCAGGACTGTCCAATAATTTAAATGTAGCATGTAGATGGTGATAGAATTGTGTGTTGAATATGACTATAAAAAAATATTGTAGAAATAGCTCTCGTTTCTCACTCTTAATATTACCTAATTCATTTGTTGATGAAGTTTTTGCTAGTGTCAAATTTTATCAAAACTAAATATTTCAAAAATGCCATATCAAATAAATAGGATAACACTTGCTTTTACGCTTTATAATATTTGACAAATATTTTTAAATGTAGAGGCTTATATATCAAAAATATTACAATAAAAGCTACCATATCTTGTTATAAAATAATGATGGAGTTAAGCTCATCTCATTAATTATTTCAACTTTTGAAAATTCATTTGTAAGTGAAATTGCTTAACACTGCAAAGTTCGTTATTAGTGATAATAGTGATAATTTCTCAATTTGAGATTTCTCTTAAAAGCAGAAGATGGATAAACCAAGTAGATAATAACTTACTGACTTCTAATTCCAGAAAACATTCAATATCTCAGCAAATAACATTACCGAAGATAAAAAAATAAAGTTGTCACATTAGGGGAGAAATGATTATTTGATTTTGTGCACTGCTTATTTCATACACTTATTTGGAAATTATATGTTATGCAAGTTGTTTCTTTTTTTTTTTTTTTTTTTTTTTTTTTTTGTTTTCAATTTTTTTTGCTTTCTCTGCAATTGGGATATGTCAGTTCTTTGATATGTTTACACATCCCTATGGCATGTTGTTATTATCATAAGCTGATAGTAACTTTTGTTAGTAGTATAAATGTATGTCAAAGTAGATTCTGCCACATACGCTTTGCTTCATTAAAAGAAGAAACAGCACAAAGTTTCACACATGAGAAAGAGAAGAGAAATTTAATCCTATACATACTGATCAAGAAAATAGCAAAATTAGTAAAATAGATGATGTAATAGTTGATTCTTGGTAAGTTCCGAGCAATCTTATTAGTTTTTCTTTAACATCCGGGAGTATTTTATTGAAAGGGAATGTTAAAAAAAAAAAAAATTTAGAACAATTGTGGGATGATCAATTTCTAAGTCAAATTTTAGATATGTCAATAAGAAACCTCAAATTAAGATTGTACTTATATGTAAGTTTTGCACTTTTACTTCAAAAAAAAAAAAAAAAAATTCACTATTTGCACAAATTTGCATGCTGCAGTTAACGCCGGTTAAATTGTTGCATGAGTTATGATGACAATTTGTAGCAAATTAGTCTAATTTGAGAAAATATCAATACAGCTGCTTATTTATAGATTTTTATCAGTTGTAATTGAAATTTTTAATAACATTTGAAAATTTCCATTAAGTAGCTGTAGTAAAAATTCACAACAGATTATTATTTTTATAAATTGTAAAAATGATTACTATTTAATTTGGTATAATTATTAGATTTTTTTTAGATTATAATTACATATTTCATTATTACTATTCAAATTTAGTTTTGTTCAGACTAACATAACATACTTAAAATGTGATTAACTTAGGTAAGTGGTTATGCATCAATGCCGTTAACATTATATCCAAATCAACAACCATACGTTGCAACCAACGTTGCTGTACCATACAAAGGTGCTGAAGCTACCGGTTGTGGTCCAGATGTGCACAGTCAAACGAGTAGTAACGATGGTTCAAGTGGAAGCGAACAGAGACGGGGGTACTTTTTTTTTTATTTCCCTCTCTCTCTCTCTCTCTTTATCATCGCATTGCAAGGGAAGAAAATTATGAAAGAAAGAGATTGCAGCAATTCGTTTAATTTACAGAGTTGAAATTAGAATTTAAATCTGCAGAGTTGAAATTAGAATTTAAATCTGCAGAATTGAAATTAGAATTTAAATCTGCAGAGTTGAAATTAGAATTTAAATCGGCAGAGTTGAAATTAGAATTTAAATCTGCAGAGTTGAAATTAGAATTTAAATCTGCAGAATTGAAATTAGAATTAAAATAATCGTGCAAAATTTCAGACGTGCAATTTTACCACCTGTACCTATGCCATCAGCTGTTCATTCAACTGCGTTTTCATCTAATATTCAAAAAGGGACATCAGTATCATTAGCTGCAGGTTCATCTTTTGGAATGGTAGCAACAAATCGTTTAGAAGAAATGCCACATGATTTGACATCCAGTCGACAAAGTTTTCGAATTGCAATGAGTCAACCGTTTGAATTTTTTGTTGATAATTTATAGCTTCTCTAATTCTTACCGAATAATACTCTTATGCTTTGTTTTTTTTTTTTTTTTTTATTCTTTGCTTATGTTTAAGCTAAGAATTTTTTTAACACAGGGTACTGGAAGAGATATCTACTCTTCACAAATCAAATACTAATTATCATTGGAAATATTTTCATACAAACAAAACACATGGAAATTAATTAAATAATTAAAATAATTCATAGAGATGTATTTTGAGACAACTTTTTTGTAATTTGGTAGTATGTTTGTGTTATAGAACAAGCATACGATTTTAATACATCCTTCGTAGAATGATTACATCGAAATTTGAATCTGAAAAAAAATTTCCTTGGCGAAATGCATTTGCATTTTTTGCAATTAGTTTTGCAGATTTATCGCTGCTCACTTTTGTATTTTCTAATATAATTTGTAATTGCAATGAATTTTCAATAATTTTCCATAAAATTGTTTCATAGCACAAATACATGATCCACAAATTTTCGATTATTGTAAAAGTAATACTATAAGAAACTTTTTAAAGATTTTTTTTTAAATCCCAGTTGCATTTGCATATTTTATTTGCTTACTTCTTTCATGTGAAAGTATTTTTCAAGTAATTTGCTATCATTTTTTTTTTGTTATTAATATCTGCTGAATATTGATTGCAAATTTGATTGAACAATTTTCGAAAAACTTGCTGAGAATACAAAACAAACCTTTATCTTTTATAAATTATAATTAGACTAATTTCTCACTTCATCAATTACTCCTGTGTTTTCTTTTTAAGATACATTGATATTTGAAGCTTACTGCTTCGATCATTTGTGTTTAGATATTTGCAATTTTTTGAACTGAAATATTTTTGTTCTTCTATTAATAAAAAATATTGAAAAAAAAAAATAGATTTTATTAACATAATTCATTGCAGTTAATAGCAATTGTAGTAATTGTGATAATTGCAATTTTTAAAAGAATATTTTGTGCAAAAATCAATCATTTACACATATTATCTTCTAACTTTCTTGCATTCTTCATATTTTACCTTTTAATTTAAATTTTTGAAAAGTTTTGAAAATAACATCATGCATTTCTTATCAAATTCAAAAAAAAAAAAATTAACTTTCTATTTTATGAAGTTAAAGAATTGCACAAATTTGACAATTTTTTACTTCGTTCTGCTCCAGGCCTTCTTCCAGCTCAGCGTAACCATCAATGGAATGTTTGTTGATATCTGGAAAATTTTTTTATATTTCCAAAATTTTTATATTTATAGTAATTTTAGCTGAAGTTATTAATTTATAATTTGAATTTACTTCATTTAATAATGGCAGATTGGAAAGAAATTATTATAAATGAGCAAAATATTTGCGTTAACATGATTACTTAAGTGAATAAATTAAAAAAAATTGAAGAAATACTTCTTTCAATTCCAATAATTTCCCAAATTGATTTTTTAGCACTTGACTTCAGGAAATATGTTTCCATTACACCCTTATTTTTAATCTTTGTCATACCGCGATATTCAAAAATAAATTTACCCGTTCTTTGGGCGCACCTAAAAATTTGTAAAAAATTTGACTACCAATTTCTTTTTTTCTTTTTTTTTTTGCATTCTAATGAGAAATCTTGGAAATTAGATATTATTGATATTATTAAAAAATTAGATATAATATTATGGAAATTAGATATTATTGAAAATTAAATATCATTTCACTGAGATATTACTGATTTTCAAATTAATTTGCCATTCTTTTCAGCATCGACAGATTAGCAAATTTCATTTGAAATTTTCGAAGTAATTTAAGAGACAAACTCGAATGAAGCTTTGCTGCAATGAATTTTCCCGGGTACTCCATGACTACCCATACGTGATGCAGTATTCATCGTATCACCAAAAAGACAATATCTGCAAAATCAAATTTTCAAACTGCCCAGTGAAAAATTTTTTTACAAATTCTGGGAAAAATTTTTCTTTGAGTTTTTTAATCATTAATTAAACTTTCTTCTTAAAATATATTACTAATAATAATTTGATCCAATAAAAAGACTAAATGTTTTAAATTTGAAAAATTGTTTGGTATTTATAAGAGAGAGAGGGAGAGAGTGAGTGACAGAGAGAATTAGATATTTTTATTTTTGGGATTTTGGTTTTCTTTTTTTTTTTTCCAAAAAAATTTTTAATAAATGGTATACCTAGGCGTTTTCTTGCCAATTACACCAGCTACAACTGGTCCAGAATTGATACCAAGACGGATTTGGAGTGGTTTTCCAGTAACCGGATCGATAATGGACCGTGTTTCAAAAATCATACCAAGTGCTGCATCACATAATATTTCACAGTGATTATCGATCTGTTCCGGAATCCCTCCAACTGCTACATATGTATCATCAATTGTTTCCACTTTAAATGCCTTTAAAAGTTTGATATTTGATTCAGGTTTTTATCATAAAAACAAGAATGCTATGTTACAGTAAGAAATCCGGAAATCTTACGGAATGTTTGTCAATCAAACGATCAAGCTTTACAAACAATTCGTTCAATAATTTTATGATTTGTTGTGGTTTGCAGCTCATAACAATGTTATAAAAATTTGGTACATCACCGAACATTATTGTTACTTCCTGATATTCACCTAAATTTAGCAATTTGACAATATAAATATTTGTTTGTAATATTTAAATTAAAATGCTAATTAATTTTAACTTCTATGATTTTATTCTCAGCTAACTCATCCATAATTCATAGTAATAATAATTTTTCCCAGAAAAAAAGAAATTAATTAGAACAACAAAAAAAAAGTTATGTATTAGAAGAAAGAAAAGAGAAAAAGAATTATTTCTTAGCTAAAATTTAAGTTCAAATTTGGGATTAAAAAAAAATTTTTTTTTTTTTGAAACAAAAGTTAAAGTTAATAAACTCACAAGCAATAACCATTTTGCCATTAAGAAGTTGTGAAGTAACAAATGTTGGTAATAACTGATGCAATAATGTTTCTGTTCTAACTCGTTCACATTTTATATTTTGTTCTTGCTCCTCCATTTCAGCATTAGTTACTTGCAGTTGCATGCTGCAAGCTAAGAATGAAATTATTTATTAGAACTATTTAAATTTTTTTTTTTTATTTGTGTTTTGTCTGATTATTTAAATTTTTTTTTTTTATTTACTAGAACTATTTAAATTTTTTTTTTTTTATTTACTAGAACTATTTAAATTTTTTTTTTTATTTACTAGAACTATTTAAATTTTTTTTTTTTATTTACTAGAACTATTTAAAACTATTCTAATTTCATTAAATAACTTTACTTACTTCTTCTCAATACTGGAAAGTCGTTGTTCATTAAGAAATACAACATCTCTAGTGAAGTCGTGCGCTGGCATTTCATCCAGACGTATTCCATATTCAATTAATTCCGAAATAGTACTTACATCTGGTGAACCAATATATAATAAACAATTTTCCTGTTCCAAAACAATCATTTGTCCTTTCAATTTTAACTTTCGTTCCTGATTTGTAATAGTTCTAAAAAAAAAAAGAAAAACTGATTAAATATATTATCAAATATTAGCTAATTACTTTTCAATATACAATCAACGGATATTTCGATATTAAATTGATAAAGAAACAAAACATTGATATTACTATCAAATGTTGAGATGAAAACAATATAAGTCTTTCTAATTCATTAACATTTGATGCATTTCTGTAAACAAATTACCGAATATTGCTAAAATTTTCATTGTGAATTACTGTTTTAAATTGTAGAATGAATATTGTACTGATAAGATTACATATATTATCAAAATTGAATGATATCTGTGGCCAAATGATATCAAATATGCATTCCAACGGTGTACCAGGTGCTAATAATTCCATTGAAATGTGTCGACTGAAATAAAAACAAAAAAGTAAAGAAAGAAAAATGAACAGAATACTTATCAAATTAAAAAAAAACTTACTAAAAACCATTTCCGGATTGTATTAAATTACAGTTTCGATCAGCTATGAAATGAAATGGTTGTAAAGAAATGAAATCTGCTTTGTTTACTTGTAATATACCACCAACACTTTCATTTAAAGATTCACTCCATAATAAGCCACATTGTGTTAAATCCTGAAAATTTTCTTGATCTCATTAGATCATTTATTCCGGAATATATTTAGAGCATTAGAAAAATAGTAAAAACTTGAATAACTGCTGCTGCTGAATGATTTAAGTATATTTCAAATAAAACACAAATTTGTAAATGAGAAGAAAAAAACAGGAAACGATGCAAATTTGAATTTAAAAAATCTCTAAGATAGACTCAAGGAAATGTAATATTCCTCACATTGATCAATGTTACATTATTTGCAACTTTTCATAACACAGAATTTAAAAAAATGAAATTTACAATTAAAATAAAATTGACTGATAAACAAACTTCAATTTTATAAACAGCGTATTCTTGCTGATAAATGTCATCTGCATACTGCTTATCATATTTATTTAAATCAATAAGTGTAATTTTTACTTCCATATTGAAAAATTTTTTTGCTACTTTACGTGCTGCACCTATAATATCAGATACTTTTCAAGGAATGATTTTAAATTTTCAAGTAAATTTTAAAATCTTTCAATCAGTTTTTTTTTTTTTTTAATAATCTAAAGTTAAGAGCTATCCACAATCTCACCAAGTGAAGTATTGATATCTGACAATTTATTCTTTATAGTGATATTATCACTAATTCAGAGAATATCTGCCAAATGATATTTAAAGTAAATGCAAGACCATTCTCGCTTGCTATGAATCTCGAGAAATAGCAATACTTTGGAAAATAATTTTAACTAAGTAATGGAATAAGTATTTTGTTGGCTTACTTGATATAATTGAAATAGTTTTTTTTAAGCTTATTTTTTTAAAGCCTTTAAGCTTATTAAAGTTTTTTAATATTAAAAATTATTAGCATCACTAAAATTGTCGTTATTCTTTAGTTTTAATTATTTAAATGCTAACCTTTAGCAATAAAATGTGTTCCATGTTGATTGCTATAATAATGAAGCAAAACTGAATTGCCACCTTCGTATTTTTCACATCGAAATAGCGGTCCTCTTATGGTATTTTTGTAAACAGCAAAACTTATAAAATGATGCAATGAATTTAATCCATTGAAAAAATTCTGAAACTTAGTTTTGAGTTAAAAAAAAAAAAGAAAATAATTGCTTGAACTTAAATGAGGTTAGAATGAGAGTAAATTGTCACCTAAGATAGATATTAGGTGACAATTTAAAATTATAGCTTTTTCCCTGTCATTGATAATTGATGCATTAATTTTTAAGTCTTGTAGTAAGTACTTCCCGAAAAGATATGAACCAATGATAAGAAAATAATCCTCTTAAATAAAAAAGCTTATAGGCCTAAATTGGATAAAAAGTATGGAAAATTAAAGAGAACTGCAATTAGCATCAAATAATATCTCAAACAATTTTCACTAAGAAATCTCGATTTAAAAATCTGAAATAATCTTTCATCTAAAAAAATTAACTGGATAAGAAATGCAATTAGCATCTAATAATATCTCAAATAATAAAGAAATCTCGAGAAAATCTTTTTAAAAATCTGAAATTCATCTAAAAAATTATACTGTAAGCTTATTTAAGGAATGAAAGAGAATAAATAATTTATAGGATGGATAAAAAGTATGGAAAATTAAGGATAACTGCAAATTTAAGAATCTCGAGAAAATTCATCTAAAAAAATTATACTGTAAGCTTATTTAAGGAAAGAATAGAGAATAAATAATTTATAGGATGGATAAAAAGTATGGAAAATTAAGGATAACTGCAATTGGCATCTAATAATATCTCAAATAATTTTCACTAAGAAATCTCGAGAAAATTTTTTTAAAAATCTGAAATGAATCTTTCATCTAAAAAAATTATACTGTAAGCTTATTTAAGGAATGAATAGAGAATAAATAATTTATAGGATGGATAAAAAGTATGGAAAATTAAGGATAATTGCAATTAGCATCTAATAATATCTCAAATAATTTTCACTAAGAAATCTCGAGAAAATTTTTTTAAAAATCTGAAATGAATCTTTCATCTAAAAAAATTATACTGTAAGCTTATTTAAGGAATGAATAGAGAATAAATAATTTATTGGAATGAACAAATACCATAAAATCAGGACTCATTGATCGTAATAAATTGTCCCATCCATTGTCACAGAGATAGTCGATATAAAAGTCGCCCAAATTTTCCCAAAATTTGTCATATGTAAGACCTTCAAAGGCAATAATTATGATATTTTAAAATCAAAGAAATGTTATTTGATTTTTTATCATTTAAAGTAATCTGATAAGCATTAGCTAATATTTGTCGAAAAAAAAAACATTTCTTTCATTTAATTTTTGATGTTAATTTGAAATTAAAATGAAATATTTCAAGTAAAAATTAGTTTAAAGCAATTAGGCAAAGCTTTAAAATTTCTTTTATTTTTATTTTTTTGATAAAATCATAATTTTAGTTAATTATTATTTTTTTAATTTTGATAAAATCATGATTTTAGTTAATTAATTATTATTTAATTATTTTTGATAAAATCATAATTTTAGCTAATTATTTAATTAATTGTTATTTTAGAATATATGTAGAACAAAAAAAAAAAAAAAAAACGATACATTTTTGATTGAAAAATTCTTGAAATCTTTCCAAATTTCCAAATCTTACCAGTAAATGCAACAATTCCAGTGATTAAGCTAAAAGTATATTCATCACAGTAATGATAGTGTTCGATAAGCTCATCATCTTTTAAGCCAACTTTATCACTACAAAAATAAATTTTAACATTTCAATATGACACAAATTTAATTGATAAGAAATTTTGTTTAACTTTTTTGAAGAATTCCTCACTCAGTCATATATATTTTTTTGAAAATGAATTTTTATTTAAATTCAAAAAGTCTTCAAATATTGTAATTTGGAGAAAAAGCAAAATAATGCAAGAATTTAAGAGGTAAATATTTGATAAATTTTGATTTTAAAAAAAAAAAAACAAGAAATTTGTTAAATTCAATAACAAAACTTTAAAAATAAGTTTTATCAAAACTCACAGAACATTGTTCCATGTCCTTTCGTCATATTTCTCGATGATAAATTGTCGAAGTACTTTGTGAATAAAACCAAACTATGTTTTAAAATATTTGTAAAATTTCAAAATTTCAAGAAACTAAAACAATTCTTTCCTCAAACTTGTTTTTTTTTTCAATGACAGACAGAACACTTAGTTAGAAAATTAGTAGTTGCAAAATTGTTTGAATTGAGTAATTAATTACTTAAAATAAGAAAGCAAAGCAGAAATGAAAAATTATTTTGCTCTAATCTAAAAAAAAAAAAAATATTACCATTTAATGCAAAAACTTTCTAGCGACTTATTTTTAGCGCAATCAGATTAATTAACTTTTATTTTCAATCTCATTTTTAATTTATAAAACACGCAAACAATTTTTAGAATCATTTGGTTAATTATAAAGAATGTCGTTGGGATTAAATTAAATTTCTTCAAATAATTATTCAAAATTTCATTTATAAAATAATATTTGCAAAAGTATCAATGGGCGCATTATTTCTTGCATTAGTGTTTTTTCTCGAAGAGTTCTGCGACATATGTAACATGCAAAAAGAAAAGTAAACTTATCCAGTAGAGATCATCGATCATTGACCTATCAAATTTTTTAGTAAAATCATATGCTAAAATTAAAAGTTATAAATGTGAAAACAACATTGCTTACTTATATGCTAGTCAATCACTCATTTTGAATGACTGAAAATGCAATCTTCAAATTGATTGCATTGCAGAAATGCAGCAATTTGCAAAAATAACTTTTATTGTTACTAATTTTTCAATGTAAAATATACAGCAGTGAAGCAAATTTTAAATCGAATTAAAAATTAATATTTATTATTGATTGATTTATTGATTGTATGATTCTATAATGATGATGAATTAATTTCCTGAAATTCATTTATTTTATGACAATCATCCAGCAAATAAATTGAATATAAAAATTCATTTATCTTATAAAGCTTATAAAAATTCATTTATCAACTAGAATTAAACAAATTAGTTAGTATAAATCAGTGGTTACAAATTTTCACATATAATTTTAACTTTGCATATTCTTTAATATCCTAAAGTAAAAAGAGTAAAGTAAAAGGAAAAGTAAGAAAGAGTAAAGCTATATGCTTCAGGAAAATGGAAAAGTATTTTAAAAGATTGAGATCAAATGGAAAAATTAAGAAATTCATTCGCCTAAAGTTTTTTTTTTTTTTTTTTTTTTTTTGTAGAGCGAACTTTCGGAGATTTTTATTTTTGTCTGTCAGAAGTCGCTTGAATAAACAATTGTTCTTTATCGATTGAGAAAGAGTTCAAACTTTAAGTTTTGTTTTGATTTTTTTTTGTTAAATTAGCTCATAAGACTATAAAATGAATAAATCATCGTTTACTGATTGATATAAATTTCTAATTCATGCGACAGCATTATCAATTATACTAATATAAATGAATGAATCATTTTATACTTCTAATTAATATTGCTTTATAATTGCAAATATTTCGAAGTGATTTTTAAAATAAAATATTTTTGGTAGTAAAAAAAAGGCATAAAAATGCGAGTGAAAATTTTAGTCAAAAAGCAAAATTTATTTCAATATTATTATTTGCTACTCTTAAGTAATCCATCACTCCAATTACTTAATTAATCTCATTTTTCTATTCAAATTGTGGTTGAAAACTTAAATTAAGAACTTAAATTATAATCTATTTATAAATTAAGAATATTGAAATTTTCATCCAAAACTTACGGTAAATTTTTTCCAAAATTTGACTACAGTAAGATTTGGCTACAGTAAGATCACAGTATTACAGTAATATTACAGTAAAATTTAAACATTGTAAAACATTTTAATTAGCAAATATTATCAAAATCATCTATTAGCGGTAAGTAAGTGAATGTCAACTTGAAGAAAGTGCATGATTTACAGAAATAAATTAGGGATTACTTATTTTTGTAGTAAAGTAAAAGTAAAGTACGTGTGGTGACTAATCCTAAAAATCAAAAATATTTTGGTCAAGCGGAATTAATCGGACCATAAAATCCATTTAGGCTTGTCAAAGCACTTAGAAACACTCAGAAATACTTTCGAATGTGAAGGATATGACCATATTCAGTGAGACATTTTTCCCAATAAAGTGAAATGACAAATTTAAATCAAATTTTATAGTCTAATCAATTCATAAGCACAATCCTAGAATTCACTGTCCATCATTATTATATTTATTGGTCACTTACATATTTATTTTATGATGTCCACAACATATAGCACATACCGAAATTCGTTTCTAATATTTCAAGAATTTTGCTGCCACGGAAATTGAGTATAATTTTACGGGAAAATACTGTTGTGCATTAGCTATGTGTAAACTATATTAGAATTGGAATACATTTCCTTGCATCTTTTGGTTCTTCTCTCAATTTTTGTAATTTTTTTCGTTCCGAAATCTCAAGATCAACAGATTAGGAATTCCGGAACTTTCAACTGAAGCTACAATTATTATTTTAAACAAATAAGCCAAGAATTTGATTTTGGAAAAAAAAGATCATTTCAATTTGCTGATATGTTATAACTATGATATGTAAGTTTTTAAAGTTGATTCATAAGTTTTTTTTCTCTCTCATTTTTCGACATTTAAAATTTCAGTATTTAAGAAATTTTAATTCCATAGCATTCTAAATTACTCAAACACTTTTATATTTGCGCAATTCTAGAACTATTCAAATAAAATTCCATCAAGTGAAAAAAATTAGTGAAATTAATTTTAAATATGAAATTTGGAATGAGATGAATTTTCATAAAGGATAAAATGGATGAAATAAATTAACAAATTGAAGCATACACTGTTGTCCATTTTTATTTGCATAAACTGTTAAGCAAACAATAAAACAGATAAGATAAATGTTTAATAATAAATTGTATATGAGCTTAATTTTTAAAATTAAATAGCAAACAAAGAGCAAAGAAAGAGAATTAATTGATCGATTTCAAAAATGAGACCAATAAAGAATGAGCGAGCAATGCAAAGTGTACAATTAATCATGAAGATGCCCGCAGTAAAGAAGATATTAATGCAAATATACCACTTATTTAGAATATCAAATATTTCTGATCACAGGTCACAGAGGAAAATAATTTATTTCAAAAAAAAAAAAAGCTTATCACAATAAAAACCAATTGATACCTTTTTTTTTTGTGTGCTAAATAAATAGCAATGTTAAATTTAAACTTTTAATTTTATAAGCTTACAAAAATTATCAATTATCTTTTATTTAACTTCATCATTTACGATTGATTGTGTAATTTTGATTGTTTTAATAATTTATATATTTTAAAAATATTTGGTTGTTAAATCCTAAAAAATTTAATGAATTGGCGGATGGTAAAAAACTAAATTGCCTATGATCAAAAGCGTTTTTCTAAATGTGAAATATTTTTTGCAACTTTTGTCTTTGAACTTTTGAGTATGTGTGTAGACTTTTTTATATTGAGAGACAAAATTTCGAATCTCAAAAAATTCAGAAGCAAAGGAAAAAAAAAAGAATTTTATTAATTTCTGTAAAGCTAAATTTTATTTGAACTCAAATGTTTTACTGGTAGTTTTCATTAATTAACTTATCACAAATTTTTCATCACAGTAGAAATGTGAAATAGATGTAAATGAAGGAAGTAGTAATAAGTATATTCCAATGAATGAAAATAACTTGAATGACTAATTTTGAAGAAAGTTAACTTAGTCGAAATTGTCTCAAAATATAATAACATGACAGTTAAATGTTCTAAAAGTTCAAATATATTATTGTTACAGGATAGGCTTGGCTCAATAATTTTTAATAAAACAAATTGTCAAAGTTGTGCCAAAAGTTGCAAATAATATCTTACTAAAAAGCTCCTATCAATAAAGAATTATCAAAATAATCAGACATAGTAAATAAACAAACATTAGATAATTATCACTTGCAAATATGCTCCTCAATGATTTTTTCACACGGTTGACAAATCACACGACAGCAATAATGAAATTTACAATTGCACCGATCCATGACTTTACGTACCCGCGTATCGAATCCACGATAGCAAC